GATAGAAAATAACTTTATTCTGGGCCACAGTCCCTTGAGAATAACAAAATAGAACAAAATTATAAGATTACATCTCGCCAAAATAAAACCAATAGAAAATAAGAAATAATGTAAATAAAATATAAGGTAAACATTCTATATACAAAACAAACGAAACTATATACAAAACAATTAACACTATGACAAGACACTTAAAGCTATTTGCACTGATAGACCAGTATACATTTTCAAGAAAACAATAAAGAATTAAAAAAATTAAAAAATAACAAATTCTTCATTAAAATAAGCTTCGTGTTTCTGTTGAGAAAACAGAAAGCTGAACCTGACAATAAAATAAAGTGCCTGATTAATATATAAATGCATTATCATTTAAAAGTTGATTAATGTACAAATACATCATCATCATTTCTTAATGTAACAATATGTAAGAATTTAGTGGTATATAAAAGATAATGGTTATAAACTACCAATAGATGAGTTCAGTGATATCAAGACTAGGAAAATCTTTTCCCTATAAGAAAATTGATATCTCTAGCAAAGAATAGCATTGATATTTGACAATGAATGGCATGATATAAATGTACGTTGTCAAATGGTTAGCAACTATCTTACTGTTTTTGGCATAGGAATTGGAATAGGGGGGTTTTGAATGTTGATGTGGATGGAGAATGTCGAATTTTGCTAGGGAGGGAATTCGAGAAATTGAATACGTACATTAATATTCCAGTATAGATCACCATTTACAGGGGGAGAGGAGCAGAGGGCTTTCGGACTAAAGCCCCAAAAATAGACTTTTTTTTTCATTGGTCCATATTTGTTTCTGTGACTGATTAGAGCTAATTATTTAAAATGTCACGATATGATAAATTCTTTTCAAATTATAACGCATCTACACTAAGTACGTGTCAAATAAAAATCTGTGCCCCAGATATAGAGATCACCATATTAATTTTTTTATTTAATATTTTAGCAACTAAGAAACAAACAAAATAGCAACGAGTAGTACAATTAAATGAACAATTGTATAATTTGTAAAATGGGGGTTATTTCGCCGTTAGGTGGACAGGGAGTACTCCCTAGTTTTCTATATTCTCCAATAACACGGAGTTGAAATCAGTAAAAATTTAAAAAAAAAATTGTTGTTAATTTGAGGAATTCATATTCTACACTTTTAAAAAACCCTCGGCTTGGAATGGAACAGTTCCAGTGTAAAAATAGACAAAGTATCGGATATCGATAAGACGAACACTGACCGCAAGACGATACCTACATCAAGGTTGACAGGTGACATACTAACAGTGTCAACAGAGACGTAGATATTAAAAGGTCTCTTGGATGGCTTTCTGTTCGATAGCGATGTATTCTCCTGTACGGTTTGTTGGCCAACTGTTTTAACTTAGTCATTATATCTATAAGCGATGACTACCATAAGCTAATATTTTTTCTACGCCAACAGGTATCTCGAGAACACAAATATAACTGCTGATTTATCTGGGTAGTATAACTAACAAAAATTGAAGATAAACTCGTTACGAATTTATATGTTAATTTTTCAATTACAGTTCTCTTTCTACGAACTGGCTACCATGCCTTTTTCTAGAATTATATTGAATGATATGTTTTTAATCTTGAAAATGTATTCTGTCGCAAGACATCTTTAAGTCGAAAAATGAGGTCATATCGTAGCTTCGGGGTAGGCACGGCCTTGCCGAGGAGGGCACTTGGCAACCCTGCATCTCGTCGTCATGGGAACCGAACGCCATTACCTTGGTTATGGATAATATCTAACGGAAACTTACCTGTTTATGATTTTTAGAAACATGTTAATTTATTTTTTTAATAATTGATCAAGAAAAAAAAATAATTTAAGTTGTAGATTAATTTATTTGTTTGAGTGTTTTGACCAATGGGGTCATTTACACTGAAGTCTCTTTAGTCACTTGAAGTTTTTTTTAAACAATTTTATTGTACTCCACTGGCTTTAGCACCAGTGACGTGGTTGAGAGAGTAGCACAGGGATCTCTATGAGTCCTGCTTTTCCTTCTATAGTTGGAGGGAGAAGCCTGGCTGGGTCCCCTGCCTGATTGTTTATATTGTATATAGGTATGACTGTGTTTTTAATTTACTTATCTTTAGGTTATTTTATTTTTTTTATTTTACATAGTTTTTTTATTATTATTTAGTTATTATTTTACTTTTATTAATTTTGTATTTTCTGTATATATGGTGTGATTGTGTTCATTTATCACTATAATTATTGTCCACGAGACAGAATATTATATATCTAAATAAATAAATTTAAAAAAATATATATTGTATATGTTGATAGTTTTGTAAGAATTTAATAAGTCGTGAAGTATTGTCTGGGTCCTGTCTCAATATTTGTTTTGGATCCGTGGAAAATATATAGGAGTCGTGAGCCATACACTCGGTTAGTTTGTGTAGCAATGTAAGAACACACACACAGTAAGAACATGTTGGCGGTTCTTCCTTCTTCCATCTAGCATCAGATAATCATGGCTAAGTCGACAATGGCCAATTCTGAGACTGGTAAGAACTACCTCTTCTCTCCGTGATAGCTGAAGATTTTTTTTTTATGTTTAACACATCGTTCGATTTTTCTTAATTTATTTTCTCTCATACCAAACCATTGATGTTGCTACTCCAGCCGTTCTTTTTCATTTATCCAAGATATTAGATCGTTGCGATCACTTCTTGAAAATACTTGACCATTTTTTATTGCTCGTTTCGCCTGTGTGTATGCATTTTCATTTTCAGGAATTCCTCTGTGACCAGGTATACATAAAAATAGTTGTATATTTACTATACAGTTGGTAGAGTATATATTGTAAATACTATTGGAAGTATATATATCCTTAGTTCTTAGTATCCAAACTGTGAGGGATGATTCTAGGCCAAATTTCCAAAAAATAAGTTCATTTGATGCATGGGCCGACTCTGAACGGTAAAGGAGTTAAGATCAATTATGTGTTTTTCTTAAGGTGAATAAAAGCCGTGACTTTTATTGAATAAGAAGGAATTGCTCAAAAATTGTTCAAGATAATATATTCTAGGAACACAATCGTCAAGTAGACAATCTTTTTTGAGAAAACAGTGATTAAATTTACTAAGAACAATGATAAAAGGGACTTTCAAAGCCTTCCATTATGCCGGATTATTTCACGAATGAGAAATACAGAGTATGCTGCTCTGGTATGGATACTGTAACTTCAGAGGCACAGTGGCCGTATAAGACCTCCTGAAAGTCCCTTTTATCATTGATCTTAGTTAATTTAATCACTGTGTTCTCAAAAAAAAAAATCTAATTTGAGATGTTGTGGAATTTAATTATCTTGAACAGTTTTTGAACAATTCTTTCTTATTCAATAAAAACTGTGACCACTTTAAAAAAACAACACAAAATTGAACTTCTTTTCCGTTTGGAATTGGCCCATGTATCAAATGAATTTTTTTTTAAGGAAATTTTGTCTAGAGTCACACCCTCCCCTCACAGAGTTCGGCCATTAAGAACTCAGACATCCTATATTTTCAATTAGATCTCGTTGTACGATTCAAAATCTTTAAAATAGAATTTATATCGCTCAATATTTGAAATTGGGAGTCGTCACTTCTCCATGAAATTCCCTTTCGTTTGATACATCCTCATCAAAATACCCAACAAACTCTATAGCAAATCTACAACTTAGATTATTTTTTATTTTTGTTCTCAATTATTATTTATTGTTATTTTACTTCTATTTATTTTATATTTTTCAGTACATATAGTGTGAATGTTATCCTACCTCACTATAACTAATGTCCAAGTGACAGATTGTTGTAATACTCAATACATAAATAAATAGTAGTAATCAATTATTAAAAAAATAATGTAACTTTTTTCGAAAAATCATTAACAGATAAGTTTAAGTTCAAGCCAAAGCCATAAAATGTACAGTTTGCGAGGTAAACAATGATCCTTGCCAAAACCCTCCTACGTGCAATGGTTGTTATGTGGTACTTATCACACGTTCAGTTTTAAACAAATTAAAATATCGCTATTTGGTTACACCAATCATAATATCAACAAATGGTCTGATCACAAAGTCAACAGTGGCAGGTGCGGACGGCTTGAATTTACCCCTTCATGTGTTAAGAGAGCAGTTCTCTTGGATACAGCCAGAATTACTAGTAAGTTCTTAAACATCTCAAAAAAATCATAACTGCAGGTGTTTGGACTTGTCCCTCACCTTCAACTTTGAATTCACAAAAACGAGAATAATAACCTAACCGATGACAATATCTGAAAGACTATTTCTGAAAAGATAAGGAAATATCAAGACTTGTGCCAAGAACTTCGGCAACTTTACAAACTGAATCAAGTACAGGTATATCCAATCGTAATTTCCAGCAATGGCCTCATCCCAGACGATACCATTCGCTCTGTCGAAAATTTGAAACTGCCAGAGAAAGTGTTGGAAGTAGGGCAAAAAGCAGTTCTCCTAGGCACAGCGAACATCGTCAGGAAGTGCTTAAACATAGTTAAACTTTTGAGCCTAACCCTTGACCTTGATCCGGGTAGGTAAATATTTCTGGCGAAAGCCAAGAAAATGTCAATTTCGATAATAATGCTTTATTTATTCTGGGACGAGTCCCTTTAGAATAATACAGAAAGACAAAAATGTGGGCTAAGGAGCCTCAGAGATACATAAACAATAACATAGTAATTAAATAGTCAAAATAGAAAAATAATAAAAGAAATCATAAGTTACTTTATGCAACAAGTTACTTTATATGTTTAATAAATTAAAAAAATATATTAGCTATGGCTTCTCTACTCTTAGTAATAGACTTTTCATTCATTCGTTTCAGCATAATTTTTTCACATTTTTCAACAAAAAAATACTAAACTAAAGTTAAACATTAAACCATGCTCTATGTTATTTAAATAAAAACAAAAATATAGATATTCATGCTAATTCGTATTAGTAAAAAAGACTTACCTTTAAGCCTCCTTATGTGGACGTCCACGTGAACTTTACTAGAGAAGTGCACGGTGGTCCTCTCGAAGAGCGATTCCTGGGAACCTCTGGTAGAGTCACTTCTTGGGCTGGATGGCCTTTCTCCCGATCCTCGCAAAAGCAAAATCTAATAATTTCCCCTCTTCACAACCCCCGGAATTTTATTTCGCTCATGTACCCATATAAACATATATAAACATGTACCCATTTGAAAAAAAAAAGTAACAAATTAGTTTAACGGTAGCTATTAATTTTAAATTAAAAAATAATGAGCAAAATAATTAATACAATATTATACGTAATAAGGTAACGGAAAAGGCAATTAATTTCATGTCCTTGAAAGGATGTTCCTTGTCCCAAATAAGGATACAATGGAATGCCAGAGGAGGGGATGTGCTGGTTTAGGAAAAACAATTTTCATTACCATTCTGCTTTTGTGGAGTTAATATATTTTTTTTTTATTCAAGGCTATTTTTAAATCATTAAATAAATTCAGCTAGTCATCACTCGTTACAAAGTCTATAATTATCGGAATGCCTCAATGCAGACCATTAACAATAAAAGCATTATTTTCTAATTTATTTTCATAATAGAATCCATTAAGCGATGAATAGAACGTTGTTTTATGTAGTTAGTCGATTTAAAAATAAAAAGGTAAAATAAATATTGTGATTACGTTTACATTAAATAACGTTGCCTAAGATATCTTTGTAAATATGGAGTGCCTTTGTATAGATTTTAAACGTCTCGTGTACTAGTAATAAATAATACAGTATTTTTTTATAATACTGAATTGAAATAAAAACAGATTTTATATAACAATGATAATCTAACCAAGAAATGCCCTAAATTATAGAAGTAGGAATAATAGATTTTACTTAACAAAAGTTTTGAAAAACTTGAGGGAATCAAGCACAACTTAATTAAAAGGAATTCAAAGCTTATTAAAGCATCAAGTAAAAAAATCCCGAATAAAATAAATACTTTTTTTTAAAAAGATCTCAACTTTGCGTAGGTAGTTTAGCCACTTCAAAGGACCCTTTGAGTGATTTAAAAAAATGTGTACTTGTGTTTTAAGATTTATAGTTTTTTTCCTATAGGTTCCTACTCTCAAAAATATGACAACAAACTCATAATTTAAATTTACTATTTAAATTAGTTTCATATCGAGACTATAGCCAAAAAGAATTTTATTTTCTTATGTTTGAATTTTCATCACTTCTCGAAGTTTCAGACATCATATTATAGACTAGGAACAACCGACCATTTCATTTAAATAAAGGAGCTTAGTTGATTTTTGTTATGAATGCTGATGTTCCTCATGCCATCAGAATGTATAAAAGCTATTCATTCTATAATGTATAATTTTTTTATACATTCTAGTTATGTTATAAATGTATTTCAATTAGCTTAATTAAAAGAATTGAAAAGATTAAAACTGCTTAAGTTGAGTACGGCAGCTTCAACTGAAATACTCCTGCGATTTTGTGCGCTTTAACAGCTGCTTATCTTCTTACATATTAACGTATCTACGTAAGATATATAGGAAATTTAATGCTCTCTTGAATTTATCTTACTGGATTTCTTCGAGAGATGCATAGATTATGAGTTTTGTGGGAAAAAAACTGACGAAAAGAGCTATTTCTCGTGAAATACCAGACAAGTTAATCCTACGTTATTAAATTTATTAAATACGTTATTAAATAAAAATTGATACTATATTAAATTTATAGTAGATTTTTATCTTCTTTAAAAAAATATATATATCTCCTTTAACTCTGTATAGACTAATAATTTGGATAAAATGCATAATTTCGGAGTCATAGACCAAAAAAGTTAAAAAAGAGCAAACATTTCGCTACTTTTTTAAAAATATATCTCGGAGCGAAATCAGAAATTTCGTTTGTTTGTTTGTTCGTTTCGATGTCTAGGCGCAAAACATCCAGGTCATAAGCGCCCGATCAACTAAATAGCATCATTTAATACTATTTGGATGATTGGTACAAAAAAAAAAAGAAATAAAATAATAAAAAAATAAAAAATAAAATAAATAAAGAAATGGATTGATAGAATAAAATAAATAGATAAGGATAATAATAGACATTTATAGGTAATAAGATGTATAAAAAAAGTATAAATAAATAAACTTTAAAAAATAGCAGTAGAATCAATAAATGAATTGAGATTAATAAACAAATGAATTAATATTACTCAATTCTTCTTCAGTGCATACTATTATTTTCAAGCTAATTTATTATTAGCCATATTTACACCAATTTAAAAAAATTTGTTGTCACTTAATGACTACTCATCAAAATGACGACGTTTCGGCTCGTCGAGCCATTTTCAAGTCTAAAATACCCATCATGTACCTGTCATTTTCACTTATGCGAATTGCAAGCGTCTACTCATAATAAAATTCCTTATTATTGTCATGTTCACCTTGTTTCTGAGTCACCCACATGTCATCCATCTCATTTCTATTCAGTGACAGAGCCGAAACGTCGTCATTTTGATGATTAGTCATTAAGTGACAACAAATTTTTTTAAATTGGTGTAAATATGGCTAATAATAAATTAACTTGATAAACAAATGAATTTAAAATGAAATGAAATCAAGTGAAAAAATAAATAAATAAATAATAATAAGAGAAAATATAATAAAAATAAATAAATAAAAAAAATTAATAAATAAAAAAAAGCCTGTCAAATGTGTTTTTTAAGTCTTTCACTATCCAGGAACTTGATAACTTAGGTAACGATTTCTTCTTGATTTCCCAGGGATGCTGATATATTCTGGGGTATTCCAAAATCTTTTAATCTTGTGGTGTAAAAAGGGCATTCTTCCAAAATATGTTTTATAGTTAGTGATTGGTTACACTTTTGACATCGGGGGATAGAATCGTTTGTTATGAGGTGGAGGTGAGTCAGTCTAGTATGTCCGATCCTCAGCCGCGTGAGATCTTTAATTTCGTTTAGGAACACCTAATTTCAGATGAGGTTTATCTAGAATTTGATATGGTTTTTAGCTGTAAGTTCTTCAGTTAAATGAAATTGTCGTTAGATCCTAGTCTATTACAATATGTGGATATGATAATGAAAATATATATTTCTTTTTTAATTTTTAACAATGGCGTCTTAATTTCTGCTAAGAACGTTTGAAGACCTTCTACAACTATTTATAGTATTAATAAGATCGGTTCCAATTATCTAATTAATTAGCAATTAGGAGGGAACCAATTGGCGCAGAGAAGGTTTCGGCTGATAAAGCTAGTTGCACTGAATCCTATCCTTGAATCGTGACCGGACAAACCTATCTTATAAAAGGATCAAGACCTTTTATTCAGATGGAGATAGACAACTTCCGCTCTTCCCGGCCGTCCACATCCTTTCGCATTGAAAAAACCAATTACATGAGTCAAGTGTCGGATTTGTCAAGTCCACGGTATATTTAAACAACAGATGAGTCAAAGAGAGATACACTTTATTTTCATATAAAATATAAAAGATCGCTGCCCAATTATATTGGGTTGCTATATTCACAGCATACTCGTTAATCCGTAGGGTAATAAATGAATAACAACAACAAGGACAATAAATAAAACAATTGGTCAGGATTTTGGTTAATTGCAGTAAATGTTTCTTCTAACTATGCCTCAAAATCTTTTGAAAACCAAGTATTTGAAGCGGGTGATTTATTTTTCCTTTCTATAACGGTTCAAAAGCGAGAAAAATATCAGTAATATTAATTGCGAATTACTAAGAAGAACTACAAAAAACAAAAACAAAAGATAATAAACCTAATTTTTCTATTGACTCTTGTACTTATTTCTGAAGGTCAGTTTAATAATAATCAAATTAGTTTTTGATAGTTATTTAATGGACGTTTCGGGTAATCTCTGCACTCCTCTTCAGCAATATTTTACTCCCCATAAAATTGGTTAAGTCATAATAATGTAATAAGTTTGGAACAATAGCTAATATACAACCTGATAATTGGCTAATTGACTGATATAAAATTAGTTGGATATCAGCCATTGTACCAAAATTATTATATTATTATGACTATCTTAAGGCTTACACTGAAATGTGAATAGATATTTAAAATAAAGATAAAAATTTAAAAATGGGATCCTATTTTTTATTTAGGTAAATAACAAGCAAAAAAATCAAAAGATCAAATTTCCGGAACAATAAATGGGCGGCGTGTCACGATTCCGTCATTAAGATATTATCTTCCCATTTACTGCCTAGGAATCTTTTAAATCAAAATCTACAAGATCCCTGTATCAAGCATATTACTGAGACCAATCTTCCGTCCATAAAAGACCACATGTGATAATAACTGACTTATTGAAATAGTATTTCTCGTTACACTAGTTCACAGCTAGTGAATTAGAAATTGAAAACACCAGTAAGAGTAGGATCTTCTAGAGTTCTGCTTTGCATTCTACTTCGGTGGAAATAGCTTGGTTCGGAGTTCTCTGGGCGTTTATTATTGTACCTAAACTGTATGAACAGTTTTATTTCTGAAGTCAACATTTTTATTTTCTTGTATCTTATTATTATTTATTATCATTATCATTGTTGACTATTATTATTATTTTATTTATGCATTCCGTACCTAAAGGAGAATTTGGTAAGAGAGAATTTTCGGTTTGTTCGGAAGTAGAGGAGCGATTCGACTTTCAATTGTTGATTTTTGGAAAAGTTGGATGTAGGAAGAAGCCATTTGTAGACTATGGCGGAATTAATTATTCTTGACTCATAATAAATCGTGAACCATCACATATATTGATTCTGACTACTTCGTTATAATCTCTACGGACAGAAGTGGGAAGAAGTAAAATGAGGAGATGAATGAAAATACTAAAATACTTTCTTACTAAATAATGTCGATTAAGACAGACCAGTATGATATGTGTTTTAGCAACTCAATATAATTAAGTAAAAATTTAACTTTTTCTCAGCAGTAATAAGAAAATAATAACTTTAGTCTCTAATATCAACTGACTATAATGCTTTTTGATGACATTCCTTATGAGTCATATTTTCATTCTTATATTTCATAGAATAAAATGGCACTGAGAATGATATTATATTGAGTGCAT